GCTATTTCGATTAGTTTTAAGTTTTAATTTTATCAGGAGTTTTATTTACTTGAATGAACCTAGACTTGATGATCGCTGTTTTCGTAATATGGGAATAGATAATTAACGTGTAACAACAAGTTTTAACCTAAAAAATAATACTGAAATATTGTCTAAGGTTCATTCGATATTTTTATTTTCATTCTAACATGATTTTTCAAAATACTGTTCTAGTTTAGATACTACTTCTGTTTTTTTTTACCATTGTGAGGTCGTATCGATTTGTTTGCAATCAGTGTACAAAGTCCATAAGCCTGATTCACTCTGAATGTTGTACAGTTATAGTGAAAACTGTGTTTAGTGATATTCTTATTAGAATGAGTATTGTTGGAAGTATCTCATTTATTCCGTTACCGAAAAATAGTTGTCCCTACTATTTTAGACATTAAAAATACAATTAACATTTGAATTACTAATGAGTAGTTCGACGCAAATTAACAAATATTGAGGTAGTAATTGTACTGGAGCTGGAGTTGTAATTTGATAGTATCACTAACACGACGACAGATATTAAGGATCACATCACATAAAAGTTCTCTTGATTAATAAAAGGTGGTTTGTAATCTATATTGGCTAGACAGCGCTACCAATATGTTTATATTTCTGATAATACTTATTAATACAATTTTTGGACATATTGTGATCTAAAATATTCTGTGTTTATGGCCGAAATCCGTATTTTAATTGTCGTTTATATTTCCGGTTTTGTATTTTATTAATTAATAAACTTATAGAATAGGGATGAGCTTGGGATACTTTAAATTTCTCTGCGTGATTCTAAAATCACTTTTCACCCAATCAGTAAGGACTCTATATAAGTCAAAAATATTTCACAACAGAAGTAATGATACGTATTAGAGTTTAGTGGTTTTAGGAAGTTTATTTGTCTTTCAAGGTCTATTATCAGTTTTACGATCTTGACATTCTAGGAATATAGACAAATAACCTCAGTAATCTGAGTATTCATATGTATTTGCTAAAGGTCTTCCATGAATCTGTTACATAGCCATGAACACTGTTGAAGAAAATTCATTATCTGTTAAAATCATTATCACTAAATTATCTGAAGAGTCAGGGAAACGAAATTTCAGGGACCCTGTCAAAATGAAGAAATCTTCATAAACCATCATCTATTTTACCCTAACTACTTTATTAAATCACCTTTTATTTGATGAACCACTCATAAAATGACTTTTTTTGAGTTTGCTATTGAACTGGAGCAGAGAGAGAGTATTTAAAACATTTCACTTGGTCAGTTCCACTCTGTAAATCATAAGATCTTCAAAAATAACCCTAAATGTATTGATGACTATACGCAAGCATATCTACAGCGCATCTCATGTAGTGAAAGATTAAATTCGATTCTTTCTGAATTTTGCAAAAATATACCAAAGTAGTTTCCTTGGTTCTGATCAGCTCATCCCTATATTACACTTTTATCCATTAATTTTATTGAAAAATTTCAATGAACACTCAATCTATTTCAAATTACTTAATTAACAATGGTATTAAGGAATTGCTCAAAATCCGTGACTATTTTGATAGCTTTGTTTTTTGAATTGCTGAAAGACCAAAATCGTTGTCTTTAGAAATACGCTCAAATAAATTTCATACAAACTCAAATAATGTAAATATTAACTCTTAAAAGCAACGAAACGTTCTCCTAACTAGCTATCGACATTACATAACATAAAACGAAATAATTTGTAATGGTTAATTATTCAAAAATAATGAATAGTCTAAACATAGATAATTGAAAAATATTGGTACCGACAACACATAAAGAGATCAATAGAATTATGGTGCAGATAGGAAAGTTTAGGGTACTTCTTTGAGATTATTCTCATACTTCGCATGTTAATCAACCTGACAACAATTATTAATATTTTTGATAGTGCGTAATTTCTAGAAGCTGGGATGATACAGGACACCATTTTAGCACACAGATCAGATTCATTGACAAGTGCACGACTCCTACTATTCATAAATTTATGTAGACGATTCATTCCAAACTCACTGGTACATTGTAACAACTGACTGACACATAACGAGGACATTCTTGTACTAACCACTTGTTGATCGACGCCATGCAAGCATTTTAGAATACTTAGCTGGTACTGAAGGAGGAGAGCTTTCTGGTACGAAGGAATAAAATAATGCTGTTCATTTGTCATAAATTGGTACGGAAAGGCTTAACTAGTTTGAACGTATACAAACCTGTTTATCGGTAAAGGTACCACTTTATGATGACAACTGATGGACTATCAAGCAGTCTTTCTTTACTCCACTGATTATTTATTTGGTACAAAATCGATATTTATCCAATTTACTTCAGTTCCTGCTAATTATCCAAGTTTTTTAAATGGTGATATAAAAGTGTAATATGCGCACTAATAGATGTCCAGTTATCTTATTGAGGTCGTTTCAATTTTTCCCTTTTCCCAGGCTTTCATGATATGAATCGAAATTAACCGAGTCAATATATTCAGTCTCGTAGAAGTTTTTGTATTATTCCCAATTGCCTAGAAAATCGCCCACAAATGTCCTGGTACGGCCGGGGCTTAAAGCGGGTTGGTGGTTACGAAAGATAAAGCTAATAGAGTTAGAAAATCCTGATTCCAAGCCATTTGTGCACATGGGCTCCAGGATCCTGTGGGAAAAAATCTATGAACCCAATTTTTTGTCACCGTCTACCACGGAATCGCATCACCTAACGCAGCTATATGGATTAGACATCTAGGTCAAAGGTTGAGAGGGTAGCTCTTTAAAGAGCCTACCTATTTCGGTTTGGGCAACAGGAGAGTGCCCTACCCTACTCACAAATCAAAGGATCATCAAACTGGAAAATTTACTCTCGCTTCAGTTCACATTCTCACAACTTGTGTCCACAATTATTCATTAACACTCACATTGACTTTATTCTGTATCACTTGCCTATTCCCACTTTGCGCATCCCTTTATTTCTCAACCCAAACAACAGCTCACCAGTGGTGGAAATTCTGTTCGATCTCAAGTCATTAAATGGTTGAAAGTTGAGTTCTACTGCTGAATACTAATTCTGAACCAGCTTTTCTATAACTACGTGCCGTTCTAGCTGGTCTCCTTCAGTGTCCGCATACTAACGCAGATGGGACAATACATAGGGTTGACTATTTCTTTCAAGTCTTAACATCGACGTTTGTTGTCTATCCTAAATCCACACTCAAGAATTTAGTAAAAAAAGCTGAAAACCCGCTCCCCATCCTTCGCTTCGAAAAGCTTATTCCGCGTGCATTCATCCGAGGACCCTGTGGCATCATCTTGTTTTGCCTGTGTTGGTGCCGCACTAAGCGCTAGGGTTGAGGCGACGTTTATCGATTGGGGTCCTCATTAACAGTCAACTCAAAAATACCACCAACGCGAGAAATCGGTGCGAGGAGCAATGTCTGTTCGTAATCTCTGACTACACCCCGACAGATTGTATCCCGGATACAATGAAGGACGAGTCTTACCAACAGTTAGGCGATCTCAAGAAAATGTGTTTGGTGGATATCGTAGTACTAGAGGGAGAATGGCGCAGGTCTGGCGTCTAGGCAAAGAAGAGAGTTACTTGAGTGGCTTTTGGAGACATTTGGTTTCAGGTCAGATAAATGTGACCGTCTACTGTAACTTCGCGTACTACAACTTGTTTCTGGTTACCACTAACTGTCGGCATATTCATCGCCAATGTGGAAATAGGTTATGGTAGTGTGGACCTAATACCTGGGGAAATACTTCGACCACGAACATGCAGATGATATTATCTTGCTGTGCGATTATACCCAAGTCATAAAATCCGCATTTAATCAATTGGCAATCAGTGCCCCTAGGCACGATATTTGTTCTGAATTTCCCAAGTCCAAAGTATTTTTACAAGACTTGTAGGACCGTAAACCTGCACCTACTCTTGGTAGTGAGCAAATAAGGTAGTCGAAAAATCCGTGTACCTCATTTTCTTAAAGTGTAGTGCATATATTTTGACGGCCCTTAATACCAACATGTACTTAAATAAATAATTTTCAATTATGATTCCATTAGTAATTTGTTGTCTGATTAAACAATCAACTATTGCTAAAACCCGATAGAATGTCTTAATAGAAAAATCTAAACAATCTAGACGTCATATACCATATTTAATCTTTTATTCATTGATAATGTAGCCAAAACAAATTAACTTGAAAGAGGGGAGTTTCTAATAGTAGTTAAATTGGTTGCAATTACGAAATCACAACCAACGTATCCGTATGAAATGCTAAATTTCTTTGAAAAACTGATAAGAGAGCATATCTATATGGTAAATTTTGCCATTAATTGATATTTAGCCTTCGAAAGCTTTTCTCACTGATGTCACCTTAATGTCTTCTGAGATGCACGGAATGAACTGCTTGGAAATAAATTAGTAAGAAAACAATATACTTCGCCTCGCATACTCACCCAGTATCACATCTCTTACTCAAAAATACGGTCAGGAAGTTTCAGAAAATCGCCCGGGTCATTTTCAATGAATCTTGAAGTGCTCATTTCGGACACCACGAATTCTAAAACGACATATATGGAAAACGCGCTAGACAACTGAAAAACTACCTAAAATTTAACAGATCCAATATTTTTATAGTTATCGAGTTTTTGGTTTGGTAGTCTCCGAATATTTAACTGTCAAAATATACAGCATCAAAGGGACAGGCTTAAGGACTATCCTATCGTGTTAATAGTCTTTTCTAATCCTTCAAGTTATTATTTGAAAGTCAAATTTTCTTCCTTAGGCTTAAGCTCCAAGTTTGACTAAAGAGCTTGATAGTATGCATAATTATCTCACGAAAGCCACATTATTCATCTGCAGCGTTCCACTTATTGAGTTTATTTTGATATCGCGATGTCTGTGAAACAAAATAAATTCAAGGGACAAGGGAATCTAACCATTGATGCTATTAATTAAACAAAAATACAACGTGGGAGATTGTATTTGATAATGTAATTTAAAACATATACATAGGCAAAGATCAGATATCACCTAAAATAATTATGAAGGGAATAAGTCATGACAGAAACAGTGGAAAAGATATGGAACGAGAACTCAAAAAGCCTCGTCCCCCTCATATTTGCAATATAATACAAAAAGCGTGTGATTTCATCTGGTTCCATTAATGAACGGAAAAACAAATCATAGACCTCCACGCAACGAAAGTACTAAATGTATTACTGAACCACCCTGCATTTTGTATTCCTGGACAAGTTTCTCATCATTCATTTGTTTACCGGAAAAAATCAATCGTTGTTGTTGTGGTGGTATGCCTTCTTTTTCTTCAATTCTTTCTTTGATACGTTCAACTTTGTCAGTTTGTTCAATATCGATTTCAATTTCTTTGCCAGTTAACGTTTTCACTTTAATCAGCATACTGTAATATTGAAAAAAGCTTTAGGCACTAATGCACAAATACATTAAGTTTCTCAGACTTGGCAGAAGCTATAAATGCTATACTATTTCAACTATTGAAATTTCTAAAAATCTCCACAAAACCCCCTTCTGACTAGAAATTGTTTGGTAATCAGTGGCAAACTATTTTTGCCACAGTTTATACACACTGACTGGGGAAAATTTTATCGAAAGGTATGATGTCGCACAAGACAACTGCTCAGATTATTAAAAATGAATATTATACCCTGCAAAATTACGTGAAGTGACTTGCGAAAAGCCTTAAGTGCTGGACAAAGATGGCAATATTTATGAAAATGACTTAAAGTCATACAGTATGAACAAACAATGATAGCATGTAGAAACGAATGAATTCGATAAGTAGACAACGAGATAAATAATCCAACACTCAACTATAGGATGATGGTCACTGGCTCCTAATATAATTTGGGCTTTGCAACATTTCGGACGAACTAGATACACACTTTACAGAGACCCCATTGAAGAAGCTGTGAATAGATTACTGGTGCTAACTAAGTACTACTAGTGTTTATTTCACGTAACGGTGTCGAAAACAGGGTCGGCTTTCTCAAAATTGATTATTTGGCATTCAGAAGAAAATCATTTAGCATGAGACAGGCAAATCTCAAAAAATTCCAAGCCGATACAGCCTCCCGATTTCAAGGCTTTCCAGTCACATGAAAATCGGTAGTTTCCTTTTGAGTCTGGAGAAAAAAAATTTGAGGGTTTTTCCTCCAAAATAACCTGAAATTTTAAAGAAAGACTCTGGAAATGAAGTTTTGTGTGCTGGTAAACATTGACAAAAATTTCCTTAAGATCAGTAGAAGAGATATAGAGATCTGGGAATATGGGCTGATAAAATAACGTGAGCGTTGTACGTCATCTGTTAAACTATGGAATCAGCAAGTTTAACTGGAGGATAAAGTTGAACATGTGTACTATTTAAGCTATTGCCAGAAAGCAATTGAACAGATAAATGACAGAATAAAGCACACTTCATTTCATGTAACTTGACGAGAAAGTAGGATTTTTCGACTTTACCTAACACACTGCCGGTGACTGTGACGTACCACTTCAACTAACGCGCTCGACAGGCACTAATCCAATACCAATTATGAATAGATAAGCAACCTGTCATGAGTCGATTCAATTTTTCAATTTCTATTACAGTAAACGTTTTAAGTTCCAGCAATTCTCAATGCTTCTAATAAAACTTAGGTTAGTCAGATCAATCTTTCTTCTAGTCTTATTTAAAAATAATCACCGACAGAATCTTTCTTCATATCGTTGTTTGAGGTATCTTAAGTGGTTCTCACATGTTTAGGGGTTCGTTTCTATACATAAATCAGTCCCCATAAGTAAGTATTAAAAGTTGTGTTTAGGAAAAACACAAAGTGAATGGTGGTGAAGATGCCACAAGTATTCAGTGTTCGACAACGCTTTGACCAGTAACACCTAATATAACTCGTTCCCACCAAGAGCAATCAAAAGACAGAATCGAGAAGATTGTAAGATATATTTGATGACTATCAGTATATCGAGAATCGTCTGATCTAATCTGGCTAGCGATTGCAGTATATGTTGAGCACGGCGTTCCCACTGGTGATATGGTGTGGATGCATGACCGAGCGCCTTCAGCTAGGTGAGTCCATTAAAAAATGTGGTCAGCATCTAATGTCGAAAACTTACGGAACTATTTATTTTTGGGATTTATTTACCGCTGCAGTGGTACACTTTGAACGAAGTATTTCAGTGTGCCAGCATGAAATCCTAGACGATATGTGAAAGTCCACGTTTTTCCAAATTTGGATGTGAGTTACCATATTACTTTACGTCTTTCTGGACCACATAATTTGGATCTTCAAATGTTTCATGAGAGATGTATACTGCTGCTCATTGAAACCTTGTGAAACATGTGCTTGGTTTTTTGAACGGCTCAAAGTAACTTTGGGGAGACTGGTGCATGTTCGTGAACATTTGAGCTTAAATACAGACCTTTGTAAATTGTGTGACAGAGTGACTCTATATTACGCCCGGAAACGCAGAGCAATGACAAAGCACAACTTTATAGGGTGCGCTGAGAATGAAAGTATAATAAGATTTGTCACCATGTGTGAAATTACATTTGCTATTAAAACCAAGGCTTATCATTATTGGTTTCTAGTCTGAACTTTTTGAGTGAGGACTGTTTACAATGATGTTTACTAAAGTCGTTAAACCTATTTGGCTATGTATCCGTGAAGGTATGGACGAAAACTCCTAGTAATTTTTTCCTTATGATTATTATCTTAATGTCCCGCCATAACGTTTCCGTTCTCATTGTTGTTTGTGTTTTCACACACTTGTCTCCTTTTTTGACTGGCTTTCTATTATCAGTACACCAAGTTTTTATAGAGTTCAACTACTATTAACGTCTTTTATTTATTTGTAATCTAGAGAGCGTCATTGAGTAAAACTCACCGAAACTGAGATATCTCTAGTTTGAAGAAATTGGTACTGGGAAAAAGATATCGATTGCGTGTGAAAAAAGAATTGCCAAGGTCATAATAATTATTAGCTAAGTAACGAGACAGCTAACGAGTCCACCAGATAAAAAGAGTAAGTTTGTGCATATGAAATAAGCTAGAGCTAGCTGCCCACAAATCGTCCGTGTTATGTAAAAACTTCTGCAATATAAGTGACTAGATAAAATAAGACGTTTAACAGCATTGATTACTCTCAGTTTGACCATGAACTTGTACACGATAAACGTTAGATAAGTGTCAATATCAATAAAAAGGTAAAACGTCTAACCGTTGATCTTATTTGGTCACGGCAATATTCAGAGCGCTGGAGTTAGCATCGTCAAATTAAGGACTCGTCCACAGCTATAATGTGTGGGATCTGCAGTTCGTGGTCCGAACCCTGAGTCAGATTAAATATCCGACGAAAAAAGTTACAACAAACATCGTAAAAGTATTGTTCTACCAGCAAACAATAATGCTATCATTGTAAAGTGAATAAATACCTGAAAAATTATTCACACACTAGACCTGGCATGAAAGCAAGAGAAAACATAGTACACTGCATTTCACCCTCTATAAAAAACGTCGACCATTAAAGCGCTGCAGAATACGCCTTCCAAAAACAAATAAGTTGAAACATGCATCAGACACACTACCACATCACAACAACGTTAGTCCGTTATAACCAATGTAGGACCTGTCACATATGTCCAGCGGTTCAACTTGCACTAGTGCATTACCACAAAGAGATGGAAATTCTATAGTTCAAGTAGGGATAGTATAATTGGTAGTAGAAAACCATAGGTATAGACGAAACGATTCAATAAGGATGATTTTGCGAAATAAAAGGTGTGAGATAATTTTAATCTCAAGATCTAAGAGAATACAAAAAGTGAATGTACCCTTGTCACTACGAACGACCCAAAATCTGCAACCACTGATTATGATAATTGCACGAACCAGATTCACGTAATCTACACTTAACGATACTGTTCGGTTCAATGATCAACACATGTCATGGATAAGATACAGCCGAACTATGGTGAATAGACTGACACTCTCATGAGTTCTGAGTGTTTTACATGAGATCAGTTTACAGAAATTTACCGACAACATAATTGGAGGGAAACGGTGAGATTGGGTGATTATGCACTACCTTTGGATTGGAAAAACGATAAATAGTTGTATCCTCCAACTCTGTTTGACGTATTTCTGAATACAGTCATGAAAATGTTAATGAGCCTTTAAAAAACACCTTTCTGGATAAATAATTATACAACCCAGTCCTACACAACAAATCGAAAGCGTCCATTATTCAGAGGAACACAACGGTTGCTGACTATAATAAATATGACTGATCTCAAAATGAAGACGTGACCAACACGGTTGAACTTATCCGCAACGCAACCATGTAAACTTAATGTATCGCCCAGTGTAATTACGGTCATCTGAGCTTTCAAGTAACCACAGATTTTGTAATTTCATAATGTATTTTTAATTAAATAACTAGATTATGTAGGTAAGTTTGCTCTTTTTTAATTTTTATTCGCCACGTCCAACTGCGTTACACTGCACGTCCATTGCACGCTGGGATGATATCTCAAGTCATAGTTAATTCTTTCCAGATAGACTGTCAGTGCATGATTTTACTGAAGAAAGGTTTGTTGTACTGTAAACTATGTTTTTATTAACGACCGCCTGTTGTCTTCAGTATGAAAGCGGTATATATGTATCCTTCGTTTTCTCTTAGGTAAGTTCGACTGGCCTACATTTCGTGTTTTGGTTCTACCGGCTGAATTATGTTCATTTGACTCCGTTTAGCAACATGTCTGTGCAAATGGAACAATAATTATGACACTTGCTTAGTTTAGTATTCTTGGTTGTCATATGATTCAGTTTAGTTGAAAGAATTATGGTATACTTAAGTATAGTGCTTGGAACCTGAAACGAAACAGATCAGTGTAGTAAGTAGAGTCACCTGTTTCTGATGAGTATGCTGATCCAAATCAGTCTGATTAAAATAGGAAAAAATGCCTTTGATGCTGTTGCTGTCATACATCATAAGATAGCTTTAAGTACGTATGATATTTCGAATTATTTGAATTATAGCACGAACTAAGAGTCCAAGAAATAACGCAATTAAATTAAGAAGACACAAGCACAAACGAATGTACTGTATTTGGAATTCAAAATCGAGCATTCAACATGTACAAAGGTATCATTAGTCAATTCAAACACCACATCCGCCACAGCTTAAATAGAAGTATAAGTTTTTGTAATCGGTTGTATGTCTTCTTATTAAGTTCATCTTGAGTCTGTACGACATTGTATTGGATAAAAACTCTGTATTATCTAGAATACACTCATTAGTATTAGAATCAACAAACAGAATCGGAACAGATTAACCTGGAATTGTATACAATCAGTATGTCGGTTTTGTACCGAAATCATTAATATTTAGAATCGGAACCATATATTTTTCAACACTATTCTCCCCCACGAAATAATGTTGGATCTTTATATCCCCAAGTTATGAATAATGTGACTTCATTTAGAACATATTTCTTACATTGACTAGAGTATACATTGGAAGTGGATTTGTGATAAGGATGAACAGCAGTTGGTATGAAATCATCCGAATTGTAATCGAAATTGAGCTCACTTAATACTCGTGCTTCGCATTGAACAGGTTTTTCACAAGGATCAAATGCATTATAAGGATAGGTAATATATGATATAACATCAGGATTTGATTCTTCTGAAATATTCTCATGAAATTCATTAAGAATGCCATTGCAGAGTAATGGATCATTAGAAAAATTAGCATCTATCAAAACTACATCAGGCTTTCGATCATAATTATGTTCACTCAACATATTTTCTTCAGATTTGCAAGGAATTTCATCGGAAATATGTGAATCATTAGGAAAAACTATACCTGGTACAATAGCATGAGAATTCTGATAAATCGATTGGTTAGAAACTGTTGTTTTGCAAGAATTCTGAACTTGATTTACCTCTGAACTGCTTTTTGACTCTACACTGTCTATTTCAATAGTTGATAAAGATAAATCATCATTATAAATACTCGACTCAGTAGAATCAGAATTACAAGACTGAATATTAGTTGCAGCAAGATGAACATTAGTATTACAGACTGACTGAATATATCCAACATCATCACATTTAAATCACTTAGAATTACGAAATTTACATGAATTAAAAGCATGGAAATTACCACAGGACAAACATTGACCAAACTTGCGCCAATCTTCGTGAAACGCACTGCAACTCCTTGATGAATTATCTGCAAAAACTTGAGTATGCACTGGATTGGGATGACGTCATGTAGTAGAATTTTTGATGTCCTGATGAATTATTTTAGGAACTTTCCCTTCTTTACTGCAATCAAAATTTGCATACTCGGCATAGTCTAGTAGTAATTCCTTGAGAGTTGTATAAGGAAGCGAAATGGGCTTTTGCAGCATAGCCAGAGTTCTTAACAAGCTGTATGCTTCTTTACCGATGAATGTGAGGAAATATGCCACAATATTAACATCCTCATCATCTTCCTTGGTCATGACCCAGATTCAGAACCTTTAGAAATAATCCTGAAGAGCTTCAGAAGTTGAATGAATGTCTAACTTTTCCATTGCAGGCTCAATCTCGACGCCAGTATAATGTTTCGAATTATTTGAATTATAGCATGAACTAAGAGTTCAAGAAATAAAGCAATTAAATTAGGAAGACACAAGCACAAACGAATGTACTGTATTTGGAATTCAAAATCGAGCATTCAACATGTACAAAGGTATCATTAGTCAATTCAAGCACCACAGTACGTTTGGTGTTTATTTGTAGACAGTACATCTAACACTGTTCATGTTTCAAGACCACTGTCACTAAACGGTTTCCCCAGCAATAACATCGGTAGCAGGATAGCTAAGTGTGTGAGCTTTTATTTGCCTACAGAAGAGCAGTATACAGTCTTAGAAAATGAGTGTTCTGTGTCTCATTTAAATGCAGCTGGCCGTGAACAAATGTTAAGAATCTTTTTGACAACTGTGACTTTCAGTTTATCAGACACGAACTCTGCTTGTATGTCTTCCTGTTAAACTAGACGCAGATGCATGGTAATACTTAAATGAGAGCAGAATAATAAAAGCATTGAGATACGGTACCAAAGTCATGTTATACTTTGCACAAGTAATAATGACCTGATCTAATATTCATGAACTCAAGGTAAATCACAACTGCATAAATTCTGTGCTAAGAAACATGTAATTTGGTTATTTATCTATTCCACATTTCTGACTAAA